GGGGCGCCCACGTCAGGGCCACGGGGGTCCCTCGCTCAGATCTTGGGGCAGAGGCCTTCTGGTTTGGGGAGGGGTGGGTGGGGCTCCAGAAACCCCTGGGACCCCAACATCAGACACATTCTCAATCACTCTTGGGGTCTGTCATTGAGTTTATTCAAGTTCCCGGAGCTCAGCCATGGTGGGCATGCTGTGGACAGGAGGTGAGCCCTGGGCTCTTCAGGGCTCCTGGGCTGGGTCCCCCAGGCCAGGGCTGCACGGGAGTGGGGGTGGCCCGAGACCCTGCAGGGAAGCAGCACCCCTACAGGTGCCGAGTGGGGGGCCCTCCCACCCCCAGTGGGAGAACAGCCACAGTGAAGGCACACAAAGGTGGGCAGGCAGGGAATGACGGGGAGGGGGCGGGCGGGTGCCAGGGCAGGGGAGGGGCTGGGGTCTGCTGTCAGGGGACAGGCGTTCTGGGCGGTGCGGCTTCCGAGAGGCCAGCAGGGATCTGGGAGGGGTCTTCCCTACCCTGCACACCAGGTGGGGGACTGAGGGACCGGGGACCTGAGCGCTCTACCCTGTCCCGCTGGGCAGTGGTGGGGAGTCACTCCTCCTCCCTGGCCTTGTCCTGTCAGTAAATTGAGGGCCTGGGGTGAGGCTTTGGAGTGGGAAGGGCTTTGGTTTCCCCTGGGATCAGGCTGCCTGGGCACACCTCCTCCTGCAGTCACCTGGCTCCCCCTGCTGGCCATCCAGCTCCACTGCAGCCCTCACCCCAAGGACAGCCGGGGTGGGCTCACTCTTGTAGCAGAGAGCTGGCAGCCACCTGTGTGCCCACTGGGGACACCGCCTGCCTCAGGATGAGCCCATCTAGGGATCTCAGGCACTGCCCCATGCCCCGGCCACCGCTCAGCTGTCTGGTTCCAGTGTCCACTCCAGCAGCCACTGCAGGCAGGAGGCCTCGGTCTTGGGGGTCACAGGGCGGGGCGCAGCGGGGCTGCAGGGCCGGCGGCCCCCAGACATGGGGTCAGGGTCAGGGGCCACCCGCAGGGCCTGGATGAGCTGGTTGAGGGGGTGCACCAGGGTGTGGGGGCTCCAGCAGGCGTCCAGGGCTGGCACAAAAGGGTCTGGCGTGCAGGCCTCCACGCGCTCGGTGTCCGTGGGCACCCGCAGGTAGAGGGCATGCAGCATCATTCGGAAGGGCCGCTCCTCCCGGCCCCCGTCCCGCCCGTACGTCAAGTCGCCCACCACGGGGTGGCCACGGGCACTGCAGTGCACACGCAGCTGGTGCGTCCGGCCTGCGGCAGGAGGATAGGTCAGCGGGCCCTCCATCTGCGCCCGCGGCACCATAGCCCACCCACAGGAAGCAGACCTCCCCACATCCTCCTATGAGGCTGGTTCTTAGGACGGGAGACTACCTCTGAGTCGTAACCCGCGAGAGCAGACCCCGCACAGGCTTTAAGACAGAAAACCCCAGACTATGAGACCCTGAAACCCACTGGGGAGTCAGTTCCAACTCACAGCGCCCCTAGAGGACAGAGTGGAACTGCCCACAGGATCTCCAAGGCTGTCAGTCTTCACAGAAGCAAAGCCCAAACCACACCCACTGCC